TTTCCCCAAAGAATTGCCCAGCACAAAGCAGTGTCTTTTGAGTGACAGGCACTGGCTGTCAACTTCTCTTAGGAACCCCCTCTCTGATGGGTTCTTTAGTGTAGTTAACCCCGCACATGTGCCACCTAGTGGTTCCAGATTAAGCACTGGTAGGGGCTGAGGATAAAATCACCCCCTCCAGGCACCCCGGGGGTGTAGTGCCTTGCTTTAGGCACCAGCCCAGGATAGTGTTCATGAGTGCATTTTCAATAATAAACTGATAACTGGCAACCGGCGTCAGAACTGTTTCTTGCGTTGCCACTGGTTGATAGTCCTTTCATCCAGAGCACTGTCTTCCACATCTTGCTGACACACTCTGACACCTTCTGATGACGCAGGCCGGGGGAAGAGAGGGACACAGTCACGTATGTAGTTGTCCTGCCTGGACGCTGATGGACAGTAAGACCCGACTTACTCCACTAGATGAAGAGCGACAGTTAAAAAAGATTGGTTCTTTATTGGTACCTTTTTCTTTTTCTATTTTGTGCCTGTAACAGCTAAGAAGTAGGTATAAGAGTCTTCCTTACTCCTTAAAGACAAAGGACCAAACCAAAAGTAAAACCAAACCCACCGTCCTTGCTATTTCTTCAGTATATGCGGGTTAGGGTCATGGGCAGGGGGAAGAGAGAGAACAGGATGGACCCCTGGAACCTGTCTTATGTTCTCTCCGTGGATCAGGCTTATTCCTTCCTGCTCCCATTTCTAAGGGGGAAAAGCCTATAGTTAGGAATCTGTTTTTCTTCCCTGTTAAATGTAGTGAACCTAATTTCAGAAGGTTGTGTACTTGAAAACTACCAACCTACCATTAAGTTTAACCTTGCCCGCTTCCTTTTAGGCCTAATTTGAGAGAGAGACAGACAGACACACTGTCCTCCCACTTGCTTCTTTTTAGTTGTAAGCAAATAAAAAAACAAACAACACAACACTAAAAATGTTAAAAGTGTTATTATGTACTTTCTTTTTGAGGGGAAGAAAAATTCTGTCTAGAGGCTGGGAGTGGTACTGAGTAGGGACTAGGTTAGGGATGGAGGCTAAACGGAGCTGCTCTTAGAACGGTAATGGCCTGTGACCCTGGTCCCTTGGGGTCAATCCTCCAAGCTTCTGAGACAGTCTTCTTCCTCCTCGTTTATATTTCTCATCTCTTCTCTGAACTCTGACTCTTTCTCCTTATCTAGTAATAGAAATGGTGCCAGAAAAGCGTACCCCACAGATGCTCTGGGCATCCCTGAGTAGAAGTGAAATGCTCCCATATGGGGATTTTACATGTGGTCATTGTATAAGACTTTATATGTAATGGACAGGGAGACTGTCTAGCAGATCTGTATTGCTTTGTATCTTTGGTTGTAAAAGGACTGAGGGCCGGCAGTACAAATCCTGGCTCTTTCTAGATGCTTTTCCCTAAATCTGCAGGCTCTGTAGATACCCAGTCTACTTTACATGTCATTGCAGGTGAAAAATCTGTCACATATTTTGATACAGCATAAGAAGAGTCATTTGATTTCTAAACTCCAGTGTCACTGTTCTCATTTCCTGGTCACCAAACCACCTATTTGAAGTTTTTGTTGTGGCATTTCCCCACTCCTGATACCAGTTTCTGTGTTAGTTAGGACATGGGATAAACTGCTGTGACAGACACCCCAGTGGCTTAAACAAAACAACTTTCTCTTGTGTAATATTTCTGAGACGAGAGGTCCCGACTGATGGGGCATCTTTGCTCCCTCTGGTAGTCTGTGGTCCCAGGTTCCCTCCATCTTGTGTCTCTGTCTTCCCTTGGTACATTGCTTTCACCTTGGGTGCGACACCTAGGTGGCTGATATGTCCATGTTATAGTGCATGGGGAAGGGGGAACGATTAGCCCTTTCAGGGGAGGTAGAAGCTGCATGGTCACTTCTGGTCATTTTCTGATGGTGAGAACTTGTCAGGCTTGGCTGCAAAAAAACATTGGGAGACCGGCTGGTGTTTCTCAGTGGTTGACCATCGACCTATGAACCTAGAGGTCACAGTTTGACTCCTGGTCTTCGGGGTGCATGTCCAGGTTGCTGGCTGGATCCACAGTGGGAGATGTGCAGGGGCCGGCTCATTAGTGATTCTCATCATTGATGTTTCTATCTCTCTCCCTCTCTGAAATCAATAAAAAATATTATTAAAAAACAAAAAAACCCTTGGGAAATATAGTGTATGGGAATGAAGTATGGGTTTTGTCCTTTGTCCATTTTTCTTTTTTAAATATATTTTATTGATTTTTCACAGACAGGAAAGGAGAGGGATAGAGAGCCAGAAACATTGATGAGAGAGAAATATCGATCAGCTGCCTCCTGTACCCCCCCACTGGGGATGTGCCCGCAACCATGGTACATGCCCTTGACTGGAATCGAGCCCGGGACCCTTCAGTCCACAGGCCGACACTTTTTCCACTGAGCCAAATCGGCTACGGCTTTTGTCCATTTTTCTATTGGTTATGTGCCTTATTCATCTGTGGAATACCTTACTTACTCTGGATTTAAATACCGTTTAGGGGATACAGATTACATTTATTTTCTTTCAATCTGTGCATATTTCTCATTTTGTCCATGGGAGGGCTTTGTTGTATATAAGTTAAAAATTTTAATATAGTAAAATTTGGAGATCTTTTTATAACTTTTGATGGAGTGCACTTTATGTTGGTAGATTTGGTTTTAGGTACTTTACATCCATTTTGTGGCTGGGGTAGGCAGGATAGGTGCCATGATTGATAGGCTTCACAAAAATGTAATTTATGACTGACTTTTCTCTTCAATTTTAAAAAGAAACATGTTCTTTTAAATAGGAAAAACAAAGCCATCTGTTTGATGCCTCATCTTATCATTAATTTTATTACTTGACAGGATTTATAATTATTTGTCCTTTTTCTAACAAAACAATTAGTAGTTCTCCAAATTATTCATTTGTCAAAATATTTCCCTAGCTCTAGCCGGTTTGGCTCAGTGGATAGAGCGTCGGCCTGGGGACTGACGGGTCCCAGGTTCGATTCCGGTCGAGGGCATGTATGTACCTTGGTTGTGGGCACATCCCCAGTGGGAGTGTGCAGGAGGCACCTGATCGATGCTTCTCTCTCATCGATGTTTCTAACTCTCTATCCCTCTCCCTTTCTCTCTGTAAAAAATCAATAAAATATATTTAAAAAAAATATTTCCCTAGAGGACTCTGAGGGTCCCAAAGGTAGGGGCCACAGATTGAAGTGCTAACCCAGAAATTAGAGCTCAAATGTGGTGTGAGGGTCAGTATTCCAGCTGCTGGGTATGTCTCGTGTGCAGTGGAAATTGGATCTGGAATTCAGGAGAGGAAACGGTCAGAGATGTTGATTTAGGAATCGTTAAGTCCAGAGGAGACTGTTGAGGCCTGGATAGTAATGAAGTGCCTCACAGAAGAGCACATGCAGAGAGGGTTGTACCCACATTTTGAGGTCTGAGAGAAACCAGATGCAGGGACAGATGTTAGACCAGTTCCTCTTTGTTAGCATCTTCTAACTTATGGGCAAGTAGATCGAGGCTGAGACAGATGACTGTACCTATAGTTAGTAGTTGGTAGAGCTGGTATCTGGGACCAGATCTTTTCTTTCTAAATGTTTTTATTGACTTCAGAGAGAGGAAAGGAGGGCGAGAGAGAGATAGAAACATCAGTGGTAAGAAAGAATTATTGATCAGCTGCCTCCTGTACACACCACACTGGGGACCGAGCCGGCAACTCAGGCATGTGCTCTGAATGGGAATCAAACCGTGACCTTCTGATTCCTAAGTCTTTATATGCTCAACCACTGAGCCACGCCGGCCAGGCCTGGGACCAGTTCTTTATGACACCAGAGCCTATGGTAACCTGTTGTCCTCGTGCTTACAAAGATAGAAGAGCATCTCGCTGAGGAGGAGGCAGTCCTTGGTGTCAGGTGAATTTCCGATTGTTGGTTCTGCTGCCCTGGGTGGTGGAGAGGCCGGTTGCTGTGGTGCGGAGCATGGGTGCAGTCACTCCAGAGGCCCGTTTCATAAAGTTTGGTGGTGAAAGGAGGACAGGCAGAGAGGAGGAGCTTGAGGGACCGTGAGGGGTGTGTGTATGTGTGTAGGGGTGCAGAGAGATCTGAGTGAAATTAGAGGTCTAAGCCAAGAATTCTGTTTGCAGAGAAGAATGATATGAAGGGTGATCGTGTTAGAAAATCCTTGCACCAGTTATGTTGCCTCCTTAGAAAGTACGTACATGTGAGGTGCTTGGGGTGGAGTCTTGAGGGTAGTTGAAAAGGCAATAGAGTGAAGGTGTGTTTTTTTCAATTATTTAGCTTTTAGAGTGGCTGATTATTAGAGGGCATAATGATTGTTTCAAATTGACCATAATCTCAATTTATGAATTGCAAAGAAAGTTTTTTTTTTTAATATATTTTATTGATTTTTTACAGAGAGGAAGGGAGAGAGATAGAGAGTTAGAAACATCGATGAGAGAGAAACATCGATCAGCTGCCTCCTGCACATTTCCCACTGGGGATGTGCCCGCAACCCAGGTACATGCCCTTGACCGGAATCGAACCTGGGACCCTTCAGTCCGCAGGCCGACGCTCTATCCACTGAGCCAAACCGGTTTCGGCAAGAAAGTTTTTTTTTAATGAGTTACTTTGAAATACATTTGTTCTGTAGACGAACTGCTGTAATCCTGAACATCAGGTTTGTAACAGTTCCTACTAGGAGAAAACTTCTTCGAGTGAATTGTAATTTGAGGAGAAGGATAATGTATGGCTTGTTTTACATTATTTGATTATCATTTTGCAGTAGAGAATGAATATATAAGCCATGCCATTAATCATGTACATAAACTTTTCCTCTGTTAGTGAAGTATTGTCATTGTATTACCCTTTTTTCTTTATAACATGTGCTTATAGGTAAATTCACTGAAGATGAATGTAAATACAAAAATGACTCTCCGTTTTCTTGTTCGCTATGCAGCAGAAATCAAAGAACAGTCTGCAGAGGAGGATGCGGAGGTGGAGGCGGATGGCAGCAAGCGGCTGGCCCCGGCCCTGCAGCGCTCGGTGTCTGAAGAGTCGGCGAGCTCCCTGGTCTCAGTTGGTGTAGAAGCCAAAATCAGGTTAGAGGACGAATGCAGCTGGATGGAGATGAGCAACAGCAGAGCACAGCTTAGGATGTGAACCTGGATGGAATTTTATTATTTAGTAGCTTTACATTTCAGGCTGCTTTCTCGCTGTGTAGTTGGGGAGAGGGGTGTCTGTGCGCTCAGGTGTAGAACCAAGTGATACTCTAGCGCAGAGGTGGGTAACGTCTGGCCCAAGAGCCATATGATGCCTGGGAAATCATGTGGTCTGGCCCTGCCAAGGTATTAGAGGTGGGTTAATTAAACGAAAGCAGGGCTTTTTTCTGCATTCTATTGGATTGATCATTTTTTTCCTATTGATTATACATTATATTTTGCTTTTAAGATGGTGTCCCTTAACTTAAGGCTCAGACTTCATAATTCTTTATTGAATTTAATTTTGAAAGAATTTTAAACTTACAGTTTTGATTGATTTTTTTAAAAAGTCTTATATTTTCTTATCTCTGCAATCTGTGGCATTTAATTTTCTAGTTACTTTAGATATGTACAGTCCTATAACGCCTGTCACCAGAAGGTAAAGAACAGTTACAGCCCTAGCTGGTTTGGCTCAGTGGATAGAGCATTAACCTGTGGACTGAAGGGTTCTGGGTTCGATTCCTATCAAGGGCACATGCCTGGGTTGTGGACTCAACCCCAGGGAGGAGTGTGCAGGAAGCAGCCGATCAATGATTCTCTCACATCATTAATGTTTCTATCTCTCTCTTCCCACTCCCTTCCTCTCTGAAATCAATAAAACAACAACAACAAAAAACAAAACAAACAAAAAACAGAACAGTTCTGGTTTATCTGTGAGGTTACATAAGTTGTAGTTGTTTTTATTGCTGAGTAGGGTTCTGTTTTATGGAGTTGCCTACCACAGTTTTTTATGCATTTCTTAGTAAAGAGTATTTGGGCAGTTTCCTTTTGTTGGCAATTATGAA